ATATATAATTGCACTTAGCAAATTTATATATGTATAATTCGCTATACATATACAACTGAAGCGAATTGCATAAAACGAGAAAGAGAGAAATAATATACAATTTGAATTGTATAAATAGAAAGCAAAAAAAGCAGAATTGAATGTATAAAATGAGAAAAAAAGAAATTATATACAATTTGAATTTGTATAAAACGAGAAAGAGAGAAAGACAGATACCTGAGCAGGGAATATACAATTGAATCGAATTGTATAAAATGACAAAGAGAGAAATTATATACAATTTGAATTTGTGTAAAACGAGAAAGGCATGCAGAAGAGACTAGGGAAATATTTGTATTATGTAATTATAAGTGTATAGGACGAAGATATATGTATTTACATGAGTTTATACACTTTTCTCTCGCTTTATACAATTTAAAGCGAGTGAGGCGAGCGAGAGAGGGAGAATGTCGAGCGAGAATATGAGGAAGAGAGGGACTGACAAATAGTTTGTTATGGAACACAAATAAATCAAAGGGTAACTACTATGTTTATTTTATATTATTAGTTTGTCATTCTTTACAATTATTCCTATTTTGTAATCTATTATTAGTTTGTCATTCTTTACAATTATTCCTATTTTGTAATCATTCTTTCGTGGACAACTTTCAGATATAGCAAATATAAAATTCTTAATTTTATGCAATGACAAACTTTTCAAAATTGCATTTTGTAGCAAAATTGTAGTTTGCTATAGATGAATCGCTGTTTGGTGAATTGTATAATTAGTGTATTTATACAATGCAGAAGAAATTGTATAAAGTAAAGAGAAAAGAGAAAACATATGTTTGTGAACTACGGATAAATCGTTGTTTGGTGAATTGTATAATTAGTATATTTATACAGTGCAGAAGAAATTGTATAAAGTAAAGAGAAAAGAGAAAACATTTGTTTATATAATTAGATAGTGAAGATTCGTTCTTAGTTTGGGTGTATGATTTTGTATATATACATTATACAAACAGATTCAACTTATGTATGTGTATACGTTTGTGCAATTGTATATGTCTAAATGAACATTATACAAAAATATCCTTATACAAATGCAAAAATTTATACAAATCAATTGTATAATTTGTGAATGTATAAAACGAGAAAGAGAGCAAGTCAATATGAAATAAGGCAGGAAAATATTTGGATTGTATAACTACACTTGTATAAGACGAAGATATATGCAATTGTATGTTATGTACAATTTTTTCTTGCTTTATACAATTTTTACTCTATTGTAAAAAGCAAGACAGGCGAGCGAGAATATGAGAAAGAGAGGCGACTGACAAACAGTTTGTTATGAAACACAAACAAATCAAACAATAGCTACTATATTTATTTTAAATTATTAGTTTATCGTTTTATATAATTATCCTTCTTTCATCAATTTAAATAGAATGGTATATCTCTTTATTTATAAGTAATTTTTTTTTTAAAAAAAACAATTTATAATTAATATAAATCCTGCACTTGATGTGAAAATAAATACCATAAATATTTAAATTTAAAATAAAAAATAAAAATATTCTATCATTAATGTTTAACCATATAGTAGAAGAAAAGTAAATTTCTAACAAATTTTTTTAAATTACTTAATTAATTTTTAAATATGCTCTTCTAATTGAATCTGTTGTGACA